AATAAGGCTGTTGACGGAGTTTTGAATATCGCCTCCAATTTCTCTATTTATGTGATTCCTTGTATAAAGTTGGCAGGGCGGTTGGGAGGTGGAAGTGCGGTGCTTTTTCCATTCTCCCAGACAAACATGACCATTCACATGGCTGGTATGTCATCTGGGTTTTCTTGGACACACATGAATGCGCCTGGTGAACAAGTATCCATGATAGATGAGTCGGCCAATTCTTCTGCCTTTTCTTCCTTCCACATATACCTTGTTTGGGACAATCAAAAACATGAAAGGTATGGTTTTTTGATTAAGTTGCCAAAAGGAAAAATTTGTCGAAATCTTGATATTATTATAAATTGAAAGTTAAGAGAAACCTTGAGTGAACTCACATAAATTGAGAGGCTAGGAACACTCAAGGTTTGATTGTTGGAGTTTCTCCTTATACCAGTTACGATCTCTAGTAGTAACACGCCAAAGCTGTAGACGTCAGACTTAGTAGAGAAGGCGCCTTCCTTTCCATTCTCAGGGGCCATATAGACACTAGTTGAAAATTCATATATCAAGAGTTAGCAAATAGAGTTAAATTTGGTGACAAGTTAGAATGAGCGAGTTGTTCACGAGGTTATTCATTATGTTCCACAACGCGTTGGGTATTTGCATTTTACAGGTTTCACCAAAGGTTCTCGCCATATCGAAATCAGCTATCTTGGGTTTCATATTTGCGTCTAACAAAATATTTCTGGCTTTGAGATTCCTATCGGTTATGGCCATGATTCTTTGTGAAGATACAAAAGTCACCGCGACCACTTTAATTATCCTAAACCTTTTTAGCCCGTCCAATAATATATTTTTTTGATATACAAAAATGAATATAAGCAAAAATGTTTTTGAGTTTCTTCAAAAACCATGGTGCGTTATAAGAATATGTACCCCAAAAACATAGCATACAAGCTCTTTTTAGCCATATACTTCATATATCAAGAGTTTCCTCCCCACAACACCCAACAAGTCGAATCAGGTTTCTATGCTGCAATTTGGCAAGTACAATTACTTCATTCTATTGTGCCTTGTTGAGATTCTGCACTTAGTCTCTTCTCGACAACTTCTTGACCACCTAGTATTTCATATAAGAACATAATGGTACTAATATTTGAGTTTATTACATAAACAAATTATTTCGCCCTATTTAGAAGAAACTAAATATGTTTACATTGGATGATTCCGAGCCTACCCAATCATGCATGTTTCGGAGAAATTGCGGGTTACAAAGGCTGAAAGGCAATTTCTTCTAATATAACAAATATGAATTCTTGACCGGGGGATGGTTTTTATCCAACATACAGATGTCATCCAATCTAACATTTTTGTGCTTTCTCCATTTTATGTTCTTGCCTGCTCCCACATTGTTAGTAATTTCCCCTCCATTTTATGTTCTATGGTGGATTTTAATGACACAAAATGAAGTATCAAGGGGATACAAATACAATGAGCACACAGACCCAACCTCTTTATAATTAAGATGCACACAATCAACACTAACGTAAACACACAAAATCACGCCGGAAAAGAGCAAAGACATAAAAGGCCGAAGCTCTGTCGACGCGGATGAAAAAGAGCAGGGGAAAAACTCTGAAGCGGTCAAAACAACGATCGACGAATTAGAACAATGACCCTCCTTACCAACCCTCTTCTGAAATCATAAAGACAACGAGAAAGGTTCTCAAGTAGCAATGCCTCTAGGAAAGGAATAACTATCAAGCGTTATTTTCGCCGGATCCAACCACCAAAGGTCAAATCATGGGTTTTCACCTTGAAGATAAGGTTCGAGCAAATCCAACTGTTGCCTTCAACAAGGAAATGACGAAAAAACAACGCCATTGCCATGTTTAACAAATTAGCATCAGACCTTGGGTTTTCACCCAGGAGCTCTAGATCGGTTACTCGAGAAGCATCACCAAAACCGAAGTCATCATGTGTTATCGCCACCTCTTTCTGCGGTACCAGCAGCTACATGTGTAGCATGGTCCTAACATGAGGTGCCACACAAGTGAAGACCATGCCCGCATAAGAAGGCAATCAAATTGCAACAAGTTCCAGTTGCCACCAAAGCTCCGAAACGACGAAGGTCGTCGTTGCACATGCGATAAAAGATGGCAACGAAGGAAGGTCATCGGCACCACCAAAATTCCAACTGGGGACACTCGGACAGTCCCACACTATCCTCATGCTCTACTGCCCCGTCTGTGGTGGCAGAATTGGTCGGCAAATCATACTTGTCATTGCAGTCGAATCTGAAGGTCGAAGACTCCAGCCAGTTGCGACAACTACCTAGCAGCATAGGACAATGACACCGTCCTGCGCCCAAGCGGAGGACCGCCTCATTGGGATGCAGATGGTTGTGGTTGCTGCTCGGTTACCTGTAGATGGGATTGCGGCCACTGGTACCTCACCACTGAATATTCTCGGCTCAGTCAAAAACGCCACCGCCACCGCTGCGCAGCCATACCCTCTACCTCAAGTCATTGCTTATAGATAGCATCTCGCTGCCGAAGGCTACCAGAGTAGAGATCCCTCCACCGTTTCCTTCATCAACTAGTGTCGGGATTTAGCAGCGAGGTGAAGGGAGGACGGAGAGGTAGGAGATTGTGGCTGTGGGGAAGATAAGAAAGAAAAAGTTCCATTTGAACCCTATAAATGTTGCACGTCTGTCACCATGGCAATAATTGGCAATTGATTGAGAATGGGAAGTTGCAACTACTACGATTGATGAAACATACCTTTGAGTTCCAAGGAATATGCATATGAGTATCAGAAAAGTGCCTCCTAAAATTGGCAACATTATCCTCGTTGCATTGCTCTTTGTCCTTTTACCTTTTTAAATTGGGAGCACTTGCATCAAGCCTCGGTGGTTTACATTCCAAAAATGCTTTGACGAATGAGGCCTACTCGTTTTTGGAATAATGGAAAATTGCTTCAGAGTATAGTTGAGTCTTGAGACAACTTGAGAGTGTATCGGAGTTGACATTGTGGATGTCCGTGTCAGAGTTGGGATGCCACAGTTGACTAGGCTGGCTAGTGACTGAAACATTAAGCTATACATGGAGTAGTCAGACCTAGATACAATTTACGAGTAAACGGCAATGTGTGCTTCCGCTGTAAATGTCACTATGCGTAGTTTGGTACTCCCTCCTCCTAAAAACAGTGTCGCTGACTTAGTACTAAAGTTGTATCGAATCAGCAACGCTTATATTGGACACAGGAAGTATTTATCTTCCTCATCTAACCACCTAATCACTTGTATCCAATGTAAAGGTCACCTTCATTGAAGTGTTTTTCTTCAAAGTCCCTCCTCATTTAAGCAGTATCTTAATATATATATTTTGTAAATGAGACTATCAAGGTCTCTTCAGTTGGGGTAGTGGCGGGTCTTGGGTGACTTGGTGTCAAGGTCTTGGATACCGGGGCGGCGGCCCTGGTGGTAGTGGCACGACGCTCATGGGCAGAGCCCCTGCCTCGGTGCTGCCCAGTTGCGACGGCCATGTGGGCGGCGTGCTAGCCTGGGTGTGGCGCTCGGTGGCGGTGACTGTTGGCCGGAATGAAAATCTGCTGTATCTTCGGACGGACCTTCTTGAAGGCGTCATCGCGGCTCTCATTGCCCATCGTGTTGCTCCAGGGGAAACTCTTATCCTCGGATCGGGTGGTGGCGGCGCTCCGGTGTCGTATCCTTCCTGAAAGCGCCGCCTTGGAGCCCACGGTTCGTCATATGCGGTTTCACTTCTTCGCGGTGGCGTGTGCACAGTGGAAGCCCCCGGCTGCTCTTGTAGTGCTAGGAATTGTGTTGCTGTGCTCATCGCCTATGTATCATGCCTTGGGTGTGTGTGCGCGCGCGTGTGTTGTGGGAGTGTGCGTTTGTACTGGGTGCTATTGATCACTGCTTTATATATAAAGCGGGGTGAAAGCCTTTTTCGGTAAATGAGACTGTCATGCAGACAAAAAACGGAAGATAAAACATATTAAAAGATAACGACTACTAGGCAACACATGAAATATCACTATTTTCTTTTCTTTTTTACAGAATGTCATCACTATTTTGTTGAGCCATACATTTTACAGTAGTGTTAAACTCATAGATTTTCCTTCGAGAGCAGTTCAATGAGTCTAAAAATAGGATTTATTTCATCTGCCCTCTATCTCAGTAAGAGTAAAACTGTTCACGGAAGTTTGAATATCATTTCTGATTTGATCCATTTCAGCACTTCGTCGCGCAAAGCAGGCAGGGCGATTGGGGGCTGTAAGTGTGGTGCTTCCGTTCTCTAGGACAAACACCACAGATGACATGAGCGGCCTATCGTCAGGGTTCTCTTGGACACACAATAGCGCTACATGGACGCAAAGTAAAACTTCATCGGGTGAAGTATCTATGATGGATGAGTCAGGCAACTCCTCAGTCTTGTCTTCCTTCCACATATTCCATGACTGAAATAACCAAGAACATCGATCATATCAATTTAAAATGTCTGTGTCAAAAGATGCTTCAGATATTGGATGCACTTCTGGAAATGAAAGTTAAAGGAAGTCGTGTGTACTCACGTAAACTGTGAGGCTAGGGAATCCCATGGTTTGACTAATGGAGTTTCTCCTTATACCAGTTACAACCTCCAGTAGTAACACGCCAAAACTGTACACGTCGGACTTGGTAGAGAAGACTCCTTCCATTGCATACTCAGGAGCCATGTAGCCACTATTTTGATCATTTCAAGTGTAAGATTGAATTTATTGAAAAATTAATATGAGTTTTTTAGTGGGTACTCACTATGTTCCAACAATGCGTTGGGTATTTGCATTTTCTTCATTATCGCCAAAGATCCTCGCCATACCAAAATCAGCTATCTTGGGTTTCAAATTTGCACCGAGCAAAACATTTCCAGCTTTCAGATCTCTATGAATTATGGTGAACCTTGAGTCTTCGTGAAGATATAGAAGTCTCCTTGCAATCCCTTTGATTATACGGAATCTTGTCGCCCAGTCCAACATCAGTTTTCTTGACTCATCTAACAGAAGAAACAACTGTAATAAAAATGTTTTGAGTTGAATTAGAAATGATGGTTTGTTATTACAATATGTACCAAAAAGGGTAGAATCTAAGCTCTTATTAGGTAGATACTCGTATATCAGGAGTTTTTCATCTCCCTCGCTGCAACATCCAAGAAGTCGAACCAAGTTTCTATGTTGCAATTTGGCAATTAGAATCACTTCATTCCTAAATTCTTTTGTTCCTTGTCGAGAATCTCTACTTAGTCTCTTGATTGCAACTTCTTGACCACCTAACATTCCCTAGAGAAATGTAATGGAATCTTAGATTTAAATTTGCTATATGAAAAAATTAGCTCTCATGACTAGAATGAATATTAGGAAAGAGCATAGAGTTACCTTGTATACTTTACCAAAACCTCCCTTTCCAATCATGCAGGTTTTAGAGAAATCTTGGGTTGTGAGGGCAATTTCTTCTAGTTTTACGAATGGAAATGCTTGATCATAGTGAGGGTTTTCTTCTTCACATTCGTCAGAGATACCCATACCATCCGATCTTATCTTATTTGGATTTCTCCAATTTTTGTTCTTTCATGTTCCCATAATGTTAAAAGTCACTTCCCCTCTAATTAGCACAACACAATAATAAGAAATAATATAGTTATATTTTACTTCATATAACTATTGAGGTATGCATAGTTTTCCCTAATTTGCAAACTCATGGAATTAGAGGAAATAATCCAGGAGGCGCGTCTACATAGTCCCCCCACCCACCCACCCACTCCCTTGGAACAAAAACCAGACACAGCCATAGTGACAGCAGCTGTGTGACAAGATGTTTCTCTTGTTTTTTAACCTCTTTAACAAGCAATATCACCCTTTATTAGAAAAGGTGGTTGAAACCCCCAGCCTGAATATGGAAAGCGGCAAGACAACAATGTGATTTATCTAACATGTGGAATCCATATTATCTACTACTAGATTACATTTTATCATTAGATCACTCCAAACAGTAGCTGAACCATGCTCTAAACTATCTAAAATTTATAATCTAAGGATATATTGTGGTAGTACATGACGTAGTCCAAGTTCGGCCGGGAAAATGTGATCTCTCATAATCTGGGCAAATATAACATTTTACTAAAAGGAGTATACTAAACATACCTCTGAATTTTAACCATGCAAGGGAGATGCATACGAGTACCAGAACACTAGAGCCTAAAATTGGCAGCACAATCCTCACTGCATTGCTCTTTATTCTTTTACCTGTGCAACAAATACATATACAAGAAAATATGATTTAACTATTTCTTAGTTGACTAAGAAATAAATTGTTCTAAGTCATCACTAACAGCCATTGAATTTTAACATCATATGAAGTACGAAAGGGACAAGAAGATCTTCATCCGAAGGCTATTAGTATGGACCGAGAAATGACTATTGCTAGCAACAAAGCAATGGTCACAGTGAATGATAGAGCTAGAAGCTTGTTATGGAGAACTAAACAAGTCATAGAAAGAGAGAAATGAAAAAACCAATAGGAATAAGAGGGAGAAATTAAGAACTGGTACCAGTTGTTGCATCCATGCTTGCACGCCGGAGATAGAGAGTCTCACCGCCGAGCTCCCCCACCTTTCCTGTGTCAACTAACTCCTCGTTGCACACCAAGCACCTCGTCACATCCCCTCCAGACCTGCTGCTGCTCAGGTTGGCAAACGCGTATGCCACAGAGGAGCAATTGCGGCTGCACTCCTCCGCGCACTCCTCGAACTTAATCCTGCCCCCACCTATAAACAGAAACCTGTCTGGCGACTTCATCCCCGGCAAGGCCACGAAACCGTCACCACACCCTCGCAGTGCCTCCTTCCGTCGGCACCCTGCCGAGAATTTTCCACTGGTCCACTCCTCTGTGCTAGTCGGCTCAAAGCCATCAAGGCATTTGCATGTTGGCACGATGGGTGCCGCAGCCGTCTCGTCACAGTAGCCATACGGGCCGCAGTAACTGTAGCGGTCGCACTCAGCAGACGGAAACTTATAAAGGATGTCCTGCTGCTCCAGCTTTGGAGCTCATAGCCTCATACTAACCATATATAGTATGTTAGCACAAACCTGGTGCGTGGGGCGCCTTCGGAGAGACTATAAGTGACATATGTTTCATCGTCATTGTCGACGAAGGCCACTGGCATTCGTGACAGCCCCCCCCAAGTTGTAGTTGGTGTAGGCTCATCACTAGGTATCCTGTCCAGGGGGCGCTGCGAGCCACCAAGTGATCCCCGTCCCATAGGAATACTTGGAGGGATCTGTTCGGGTCGCTGCCATAGGAGAAGCGTGCCCCTCCGAGGGGACACCAGACAGCCGGTGGTGCCGCGTGTGCTATTCTTTATCTGTTGCTTCATGCCAGGGAGGAATGTGTCTGTCCGTGGTGGAAGCTCTGCCACTGCATAGTGCCATTTGACGACTGAATGACGAGATTGCCAGTGTTCAGAAGCACTGCCATCGAGGTAGAAGATCCCAAGCCAGTGGCCACGTTGGTTGTCCAAAGGACACGACGGCCACCATTACCATTGGAGAGAACCAGATTAGAGGTATTGGTGAGGGAGACCATTGGTGGAGAGGAAGAGGTGTCGGTGGCCGGGGTTTCTCGGTTGGCGACCCACACGACCGTAAGCTCACGGATGCCGTGTACCATATGCCTAGGTACAGACTGGACGTTGTTAAATTGGAGGGGTTGAAGAAGCCAAAGGCAAATCCACCATCATTGGAGACGATGGTGGCTTCCAGGGAGAGCGGCTCGCTGGGGACAAGCCGGTCCTCGGAAGCACTCAACTGCAGGAAGAGAAGGATCATGACAACGGTGCAGGTGGTGAGAGCCGGCCAATCCATGATCGGTCAGGCTAAAATCTTAGTGCTAATTAAGGCCCAGCTAACTCTTGCTAGGCTAAGTGGGGATAAGTACATAGTTGTACTAGTCCTTGGTCTACAAGCAAGCGATGCCTAATTTGACTAAGCAGCATCCACGAGTGTTGGACTGCGGAAGGAGACGATTGAATAACGCAAAGTTCTTGTACTTCTGGTAGCTGAGAGTTGACATCTCAGCTGTCCACGTCGGGAGTTGGGATGCCACCGTCACTGCTGACTGGTCAGACTAGTGACTGGAACATTAGGTTACACGGACAGCTTTTGTCTATGGGAAACGTTTCACGACGGGGCACCGGCCGAAGCTTTGGCCGGTCGCGTCTATGCGTGAATGTACCA